TGTAAATTTTTCAATAAATGAACACTATCCGTTACGCCAAAAAAAAAATCCTAAAAACATGCTTTTTTTTCGCCGAATAAACTATACCCCCCCCTTAAGTTTATTTGTATGGTACAAATTAGTACAAATTCAGTCCTTCAAATTTCTGTATTTAAAATCCTTTTTTTTATTTTTTTTCTTGTGGTCTTTCTAGCTTAATTCTAAGGTAGCAGCGACACGATTTTCTCCGAAACGGCACGAGGTACAAAATTGTTACTAGTGGTACAAATTAGTACAAAAAAAGTACTAAATATTCTGATAGGTCCGGTTTGATTCTGCCCATTTGGTCCTGCTAGCTTAAAAGAGGTGAAAATGAGTGTAAAGTCACACTGTGAAGAGTTGATAGTGCATTCACTCAAGCCAAGAGTCAAATTTTTACTCGAAAAACTTTAGAGAGTAGGAATTATAATAAAATTATAAACTATTTACAAACGTAAGTGAAAGTATTTTCTCAGCAGGAAGAAATAGTGTTTTCTTCGTGCTGCGATAAATGCGAGACGATTTGTGCGGAATATATCGGAATACAAACTGTAATTAATTGGCCATCGACGCATGTATTATTGGTGATAAACAGCGATAATTCTGTGAAACAATATCTGTGAAGCAATTTCTTATTCATTTTTAATGAGTATGTGTTCCAATGCAATCTACATTAAATTATGGCAAAGGGGATCCTATAGTGGCAGTAATTACCGACATTTAGTTAAAAGCATACAACTTTTAATTGGCTTTACGGAATTGCAAAAAATGTAGAAGGCTAGGGTCGATTTTATATAAAAAAACGGAAAAAAATTAAAAATTTGGGCACATAGAGCTGTCACTGTGACGACAATAATTGCTTGTACAAAAATACTGCAGTTTATATATACAAAATGAGATACAAGCTCTCTAGAGAAAACATTGAAGAACAATATCGTGCAATTCCAACTAAGATAAAAGCCTAGAAAAAAAGTTGCATGCTTTTAACTTTTATATGTGCAAAAGTACATGCAGGTTGATAGGATAAGCAGTATTGCATGTAGCGAGAGATGGCACAGCGATCGGACAAAAACAGATATCTATAGTTAGACAAGAACAGATATAGAGAAAACAGAATTAGAAATGTTGACATTATCGACATCAAGTAAGTTCGGCCTTCGCTATAGGATTCCCTTGTACTTTTTTTTTTAACAAGGGGGAAATCCTCATAGGATACCCCTGCCCCCGGGGCGGGGCAGGCGGTTATGCCGGACTCCTACGGGCTAAAACCTCTCCGGGTGTCTCTCTCGGCACTTAGGTATGTGAGGAGCCCCTGGGAATCGCAAAGCATAACGTCCATGGGCCCCCTCGTGCCTGACCTGACTGGTCAAAGACCTAACTTGTGGCGGATGAATAAGAATAAGGGACACCATTCCCATCCGCCACCCTCCCTTTCGGAGTTGCTTTCGCACGAGCGTGCGGCTGTCCCCGGCGTGGAGGGGAGGGGGTTTCCATCACCGAGGTGTCGGATCCCCTCTCCCCCGCGCCCCACTAGAGGGCAGGTAGGGCCAGGACCCGGGAATGTTGCCATCCCCGAAGTCCCGCCGCCCCGCCACCCACCCATCGCGGACCGAAAGGAGCGCCTGTGGTGGAGACCCCGTAGGTAGGAGTCCACCCGAGCCCCTCCCGGCCCGCTTTCTCCACCGAGGATCCCCTTGTACTACGAACAGCAGATTGCAATACGTCTGACTCTTCTACTTGATCAAAATTTAACGAATATATATTATAAAATAATACGCTTTTTACGCGCTAAATTATTCTTAATGGTGGAGAGGGGATAGGCTGCCAGTAAGCTTCTCATATGTTAATCACAAGCAATTCTGAAGAAACAAATATACAAGATTTATGTACTAATTATACACTGACATCAAAGTAATTTCGATTTTTGCATCGCATCCTTAAAGGACTTCCCTCTTAATACAAGCAGTAATATTCTTTTATAACTCGTTAAAAATTCAAAAGTTGGATTATTTAACATATTATGCATTATTATTTTAAGATGATTTCGATATTTCCGCTGCATTTCTTAAGAGACTTTTCTTTTACGATGAATAAAGACATCCACGCCTAATTAATCTCAAACTGTAAAACTTGATAAATTAAATATGTATATGATATGTCTATGATTTATGCGTTATTATTTTTAGATTCTTTTTGCGTTGCACTCATTGGAATTTCTTCTTACGACGAATGAAAGATCCACTAATTCGCTTACACATCTCACAAGTTTTTCAAAATTGCTTGTGATTAACATGTTGAAAAGCTCACTGGCAGCCTCCCTCCCTCTACTCAATTAAAAATAATTGTTTGTAGTTAAACAAAACGAGCGCAAAATTTTTTCTTATAGGTTTAGAGAGCGCATAAATAGCACATTATTATATAATTTATTTGTTACATTTTGATTAAGGGGGCTAACTAGGCAGACGTGATTACAATGCACTATCGATTTGAATATGCAGATCGACTAACGCGATAAATGGATTCTGTAAGAATCCATAATAACTCATTACGCGATATTCGCGTGAGGGAAAGTTATATGAAACACGTTAAAATCATAAACTTTCTACGAGTCAAATAAAAATATGCACTCATAAATAAATATAGATATATACTTGTTAAATATATCTATCATTTACAAATTTTCTATAATTCTTATGTTAGCAAAAAATTTCCTTTATTTTCTTTTTTTGCGAGACAGTGGAAATAATATATAGAACATATATTCATATTTTTGATGTAAAATATTTCTGATGTCGCTTTATTACGATAACACTTATCCTTTAAATTCAATGATGGCTAATGGCTTTCTTAGATATTATAATATTGTAAAGATATACATAAAATGTAATTGCAATGACATCCTTATTTTTTTACGGACAAAAAGGCCGTGAAATACGACATGGCAGTTTGCATCACCTTAAAATTGAATGTTAGTCTATTATAACGTTATATAAATCTATAAAAGATGAGGGAATAAAAAGCCAACAAAACGAGCTAAATTAAGATATTATGTTAAAATTTCATTTTCATATAAATTGGTTAATCGGTAAACGTTTCGACTTCACTTAGTCTTTCTACTAAATCAATAATAATAATAATAAAGAATTTTGTCTACCATAAGGATTCCCGCGATTGTAACGAAAAAATAAATAATATATAAATTAAAACTTAAATAATAGCAAAATGAGATAACATACACGAAGATTATACTAAGAGGCTAAGCCAATGACAAGAAGCAACTAGTTTCTCTTTTAAAAAATGAATAATTCCGAGTCGTCACATGTTGGTCATTAGTTAAAAAACTTGTACATTGCTTCCAAGTTTCCACTTGCACACTTAAAAACTATGAGGAAGCAATGTACAAGTTTCCACTTGCACACTTAAAAATTATGAGGAAGCAATGTACAAGTTTCTACTTGCACATTTAAAAACTATGAGGAAGCAATGTGCAAGTTTCTACTTGCACACTTAAAAATTATGAGGAAGCAATGTACAAGTTTCCACTTGCACACTTTTTTTATGGATGGAGTATCATTAAAGGATTGGTGTTGAATTTGGCAATGATCGGTGAAAGGGTTACCAATTTTTGCCTAAAAAATGTACAAGTCATACATGTAATCTTATATATAAGGTATCATTAAAGGGAGGTTGTTTTGAATTTGGCGAAGATTAGTGAAAGCGTTACCGATTTCTGCCTAAAAAATGTATAGGGTAGACCGAGGCAAATCGGATTACTAATTAGCACCATAAAATAACTTGTTTGAAATAAAACACTTACAAAAATTGTTTTAAAATTTATATTGATTTGCCTCCGATTTGCCTCAATCTACCCTAAGTTATTTGATGGATAGAGTATCATTTTAAAGGAAGATTGTTATTTAATTTGGCGAGGATCGGTGCAGGGATTACCGATTTCTGCTTAAAAAGTCTATAAGATGTACATGTAATTTTATATAGAGTATTATTAAAAGAAGGTTGTTTTGAATTTTGCGAGGTAAAGGGCGAAAGATTTCTGCTTAAAAAATGTGTAAGTTACTTTATGGTTAAAGTATCATTTAAGAAAGATATTAAATTTGGCGAAGATCGGTGAAGGAGTTACCGATTTTTACTTGAAAAATTACATGTATTAGTTATACATGTAATTTTTTATATAGAGTGTCATTAAAAAAAGGTTGGTACTGAATTTGGCGATAATCGGTAAAAAAGTTCTTTCTTTATATTGAATTTTTCAAAATTTTAAATGTCTTTAACTCAAGAACTGATCAACCAAATCTTAAAGAATTATATATGAAAGCAAAATTCAAAACAATCTTTTTTTAATAATACTCTATATAAAATTACATGTACATCTTATACACTTTTTAAACAAAAATCGGTAATCCCTTCACCGATCCTCAAAAAATTCAAAATTTTATAAAAATACATGGTCCAATATGGACTTCGCATATGGACCTTTAATCGCGTATAAAGCTGAGTCTAATCAACCAAATCTTAAAGAATTATATATGAAATATAGATAAAAAGGACTGAAGAATATAATAGAATTATAAATAGTCTGATATCTCAAAATTGGCGGAAGTTAGAGCAACCACGGACATTTCTAAAAAAATTCAAAAATTTAAAAAAAAAGAACCCCTTTACCGATCATCGCCAAATTCAATACCAACTTTCCTTGAATGATACTCTATCAATAAAAAAAAAAAAAAAAAAAAAAAAACAGCCCAATATCTCAATATTTGCGGAAGTTAGAGCAACCACAACATCAAATCTGCACATACACACACACACACACACACACACACACACACACACACACACGACATTTTTTTTTAATGCAATTTTTCGACGTTTTAGAACACTCTGAACATATTAGCATAAAAAACTCAAAAAACAATCTTTTCTTTGGTTTCTTCTACCCCTATCTATACTATTATATAAAATCCTTACGGGTGGTGTATGTTTGAACGTTAATAACGTGAAAACTATTGGACCGAATTTTTACCACAAGTACATGAAATAGGGCTAGAATTTTCCGGGGAGTGCTATAGAGTGTGTAGTTTTTCGTTACCGATTTTCTGAAAACCGATTTTTTTAATTTTTCTAATTCTTACGGGTAAAAGAATTAAAAAAATCGGTTTTTAGAAAATAGATAACGAAAAACTATACACTCTATAGCACTCCCCGGAAAATTCTACCCCTATTTTATATAGTTTTAATACAAATTCGGTCCAATAATTTTTAAGTTAAAAACGTTCAAACATACACCACCCGTAAGAATTAGAAAAATAAAAAAAAACGTTATTAACTTAAAAACTATTGGACCGAATTTATATTAAAACCATATAAAATAGGGGTAGAATTTTCCGGCGAATGCTATAGAGTGTATAGTTTTTCGTTATCTATTTTCTGGACTCATTTAAAAATTCTTTTTAATTCTTACAAGTGTAAAAAACTATACACTCTACAGCACTCTCCGGAAAATTCTACCTCTATTTTATATGGTTCTAATATAAATTCGGTCCAATAGTTATTAAGTTAATAACAGAGAGAGAGAGAGAGAGACTATTTGCGTGTCTGATTATATATGTCCTCCGGGGCGAAGCCCGGGTAACCAGCTAGTTTTATATATAATTCTTTTAAATTTTGTTGATTAGACCCAACTCTTTATAAGCGATCAAAGGTTCATATACGAAATTTACGAAAACAAAGCTTCCTCTATGAGGAAGCAAAATGACGGTTTCTTTCTTCTTATCTTAATTTAGTTCGTTTTGTTGGCCTTTTATTCTCTCATTGATTTGTAAACACGAGCCTAATATTTCAATAATCTATGAAAGATGTTCTTTCTAGGTATGTAAATTAGAGAGAGACGTACCGAACTGCACATAGTCATGGACATAACGAACATCTTTCCAGCCGTGAGCGTACACGGAGCGAGACTTCTGTAAAGAAGTACTCTTAATAATTTTTTACTTTTTACAGAAAACGTATACCATGATGAACCATACCTAACAGAAAAGAAGCATTTTGCGATTAACTTGTTATCCATAATGTAAGTCATCATAATTATATGCAATAAAATTATGTAACGTTACAAAGAAAGCATTGCCGTTCAAAGATTCGCCGTTACTAAAAAGCTACTTTGCATATTAATTCTTGAATTTTAATATTAATTGGCATTAATTTTAGCATTAATTGACACTATATTTTCAATTTAATCTTTAAATTAACAGAAAAATTATTTTATTTTTAATTATTTTGATCACATAAAAGCCGTAGTTGGATAAAAAGGGTTAATGTGTCCCCACACTGATCATGCTCATTTTTTTTACTTTGATTGCTATCAATGTCACTTACAATTTAGTCGAATATTAGCTCTTAATATTGAACCGTTTTGCTGTAAAAAATAAAAATAAAAATTTCGAAAATAATTTATATTTTTTGCTCGGCTTAACCCTTACTTGCCACACTGAGGTGCAGACTACCCCACGACCATATTCCCTTAATTTTAAGTACCTAAACCTACGGGGAGCGGGTCTATAGCGACATCTGTCAATAGTTCGAGGATGCCACTATCCTCTCAAGCCAGTGGCATTACGCCGGGACCGTTTTTGTCTGTGGCAGTCGTCCAAAGTGAAGTGGGATCACCTGCACCCCAGTGTGGCAAGGCTGAATTCGTGAAATTTTAGTGATTTTTTTTTGCATTGTATTTTGACACCAGAGTGAAGAATAAGGTTGGTACATCATGTTATGATAAAGAAAATTGGGATCAATCATCGCCGTCAACGCTTTCTCCATATAACCCCATGTAAAACGACGCATTTTTGGAAATTAATATCTCAGCTTCTGGATGGTCAATAAATCTGAAATAATTCTCACACATGCGGTAGATCCTATACTATCATATATTTTTTACAAACGAAAATCTATGATTGACCAAACTGCTCCAACCTCCTTAATAATAGTGGAGCCCCCCGCAGGGGGACGGAACCTACTGTTTCCACGCATACACTTTCCACGCGAAACGAGGTGTCAGTAGGAGGCAGTAGGTTCCGCCCCCTGCGGGGGGCTTCACTATTATTAAACTAAAAACATAGTGTGCCTTCAAAGTACATGCGTGGGCTTTCCACGCGTGGAAAGTTGTAAACCCATGTAGCACCTCGCATCGCTATATCGCCTATTGTGCAAGGGGCTTAAGATTGCCGGGAAAATCAACTCAAATAAGGTGATTTATCAAAATGATCATTTAGCATTGGGTATGCATAATGACCGGGAAATTTAATTAATTCTTTTCTACTAATCATTTTGACTGAACAAATTGGGAATTATACATATTGCCCGGCCATTATGCATAATTCCCAATTTATCATATTTCCCGTATAACATAAATAATAGTATGAAAGTGATTATGTGAACGAAGTGAATGTGTACTTCATTATTTTGAATGTATGTGTACGTGTATGTGTATATATATATACTTCATTAATAAACATTTGATTTAATACGATAATAGTGTATCCTTTCATAATTATTTCAATTTACTTTATTTTATTATTTTTTTAGTACCTGCACTTATTTATTTAATAAATTCCGGAAAATTACTTGTTGTAGGATTTCATTCCAAGATTCTAAATAAAAATATGGCGATGGTACCAAAAAACTATGATAATTCTGAAAAAAAATTTTGTTTTTTGAAGTACCTTCTACCCATTTTATTGGTTCAAAAAAATTACTTGTTATAGAATACCGTCTCAAAAGTTTACAAAAAAATATGGCAATGGTACGAAGAGCATATCATAATTTAAAAAAATAAAAAAAAATTTTATTTTTTTAAACTTCTGCCTACCTATTTTATTGGTTCGAAAAAATTACTTGTAGAATACTATCCCAAAATTCTACATAAAATATATGGCGATCGTACCAAAAGCATATCATATTTAAAAAAAATAAAAAAATACTTTATTTTTTTAAAGTACCGCCTACTCATTTTATTGCTTCCAAAAAATTATGTCAGATAAAAAACTACTCCAAGATTCTATAAAATTTTTTTCGTAATTATACAAGAAAGATATCGGGACTAAAAAAATCAAGAACATTTATTATTTTTTTTATCAATGTTTCTGTCATCAGAAACTTTTTCCGATTTTTCCACAATTGTGTCTCAATAATATTTACAACATATTAAAATTTTATCAAAATCTGTTAAATCGATTAAAAGATATAAATTATTTTTAAAATTTTTATTTTTATTTTTTATTGTAAGTGACACTGATAGCAATTAAAGCAAAAAAAATGAGCATGATCCGTGTGGGGGCACATTGACCCTTCTTATCTGGCTACGGCCTTTAATGCTTGATAGATAGACTCAAGGCTCCTGGGCTCTTTTCCGACATCTCATGAGATGTGACGTCAAAAGCGAGAAATGTTGAGAATTGACACGTTGAGAATTCTTGCGTAGTATTTCGAAATAAAAAGATATTTGCTTAAAATAACACTACAGATCACTTCAGCACACTTCGAAAATACTCCGAGTTGAAGTTAAGTCTATCCCTTTCTCTTGGCAGTTAATAAACAGCCGTAAAATAAATGTAATACAAAATCTAGTCATGCGCCTGCGCACAAGCCTGTATCGTATCACATTCGTTTTACGGATGTTTATTAACTGTCAAGGGAAAGGGGTATAGACTTAACTTCAACTCGGAGTATTTTCGAGGTGTGCTGAAGTGATCTGTAGTGTTATTTTAAGCAAATATCTTTTTATTTGGAAATACTACGCAATAATTTTCAACGTGTCATTTCTCGCTTCTGACGTCACATTTCAACATGGCCGCGACAAGTACCCAGGAGCCTTAAAAATTTTTTGAAAAAATTGAGAAACAATTCAAAAAATCGTGATCGAAGATATTGGAAAAATATCATGAAAATTAAACATATAAGATCTTAAAAATATCTCTTATTTGCATCTAATGCTTAAAGAGCTACACAAATTCTTACGCCTTGTCGAAAACGTCTGTGCTTCGGTCTATCAGCAATTGTCCAGGAATACACATACATACGAGATGAATAAATGCAGCAAAAGTTATAAATCCGTATCTTATTACCTCTTCAGTATGCGTCAAGTTATTGATAAGCTGAAAAATTAAAGTATTGTGTTATAAAATATTCTCAATATTCCCAGTGGGGACACATATATTTTTTAAATACAGGTGTTATTTTAATTTAATTAACTGGGCAAAAAAATGCTTTTTTCTCAAATTAAAAATAAAAAAGTTTTTGGGGATAATAAATTAAAATGACTCACCTTGTATAATTAAATGCTCACCTGTATTCCGATCACACTCAATATTAGCACATTCAGAGATAAAAGAATGAACGTCGCATGAGTGAATATGGAGTCCAGCGTCTTGACGTGTCTAGAGAGAGAAAGAAAGAGAAAGAGAGAGAGAGAGAGATAAGAGATTGGATAAAATAATTTGATATAGATAGTTGAATAAATGCTATATTAGATTGGACGATTGAGTCACTTATTCACTAAAATTGTTAAACTGTTATTAATAGACGACAGAATTTCACATAGTACAGACTCTAATGCAAGTTGATGTTTTTTCAAGCACATTATTAATTCACGATAATCATTGTTGGCAGAACCGTGTTTCTCCGCGAAAATCTCTAGATGATAATGCATTCTTGTATATATTTTTTCATTATTGTCTGATTTAGTGTCTGCCTCGCCAATAATATTTTCAAGACGCCAGCTTTAAAATAAAACGTTATAAATTAATGCGCTTCGTAATCTTTGCACCGATGTATTCTCTAAGTTTATTCGTTTGACAATATTATAACTTATAAATTCTAGCTTTCTTAGAAGTACACACTGAGAAAAAATTTTCTGCATTTTAGTAAATATTAGTTTGCATACAACTATGACTCCATTTACTAAAATGAAAAAAATTTTTGTTTTTATTAGTACATGTGTATTCACTGTTCGTGAGAAAAATATATACTAATAAAAAGGAAAATTTTCTTTATTTTAATAAATGGAGTTGCAGTTGTATGCAAACTAATATTTACTAATTAAATGCAAAAAATTTTTTTTTCTCAGGGAATTTATAAAAGGTACAGGAAGATTACAATTTTTTTTAAATTTTACTCACCTGATAGCTGTAAATAAACTGCAAGCATGCAATGTACACACTATATATGTGGTATCAACGGTGAATAAAATTGTCGTTGTAATTGTACTTACAATGTAAGTATGGAATATGATTAGATAATAGTACTTCTCTTCATCCACTCTGTATTCAGCCTGATATATGTATGCTAATGGTCGCGACTCATTTAGCGGAATTACAATATCCAAGATTCTTGGTATCAATGGAATTAACAAATAAGATATCAAGGTTATGGTAAAGTATACTGGAAAAAAGAACATATATATATAGCTTATAATTATTTGTATGAAATGTCACAGAATGTTCTTCTTCTCGGCATGGGTATATATTTTATAATCTTATACAAATTTTGTAAAAATTTAACCCTTCGCCCGTAATCTGGGTCGTAAATGGCACAAGCCAAAATTCAAAACAGAATACCGCCGAAATGAAAGGGGGGGGGCTTGCTTTCCCTCGTAAAAAAAGTAGGTAGTGAGGAGAACTCATGCCCAAAGTTTCGTTGGAATTCGCCAGTGTGTGCTTGACCAGCAGCGAGTCAAAGTGCGTCCAGTGCCAATATTGACCCTGATTACGGACAGTGCCAGACTTTCGTGCAAGTAAGTAAAATTAATTTAACGTCATTTTCATGTTACTACAGTTATTTATAACTTATATAAATGATATTTTTTTATGATTGTGTATATTATATATATAACCTCAAAATGTGAGTGGATGAAAACACGTGTAAAAAGAAATTACATGTACTTTCAGAGTACAATGGATGATCAAGCGACAAATATCAGATATTATTTACGAAAAAGACGATTTTATATGATTTTTTAATAAAATAATGTAAAAATTACGCTAAAAATCTTATTTTTCTTTAACCCAAAAAACGCCATTTTCAATCCTCAGAATAATTATACTTTTTGAAAATGACCCATATACAGAATTTTTTTCTTGAAAGTACACATATTTAATTATAAAACCTCGTTGGAATTTTTCATTTTGATTTAAAATTCAATGATATGATTTTTTTAATAAAAATAGATTTTTATTAATTTTTTGCATAAAGAATTATTTATAAACAATTTATTTTATAACGAATTGCTAAATAAACTTTGGGATTATAAAATAGGATAATATACAAGTATTACAGAATTTTTTCAGATTTTTTGAACACTATTTACTAGGTCAAAATAACGACAGGACATTTACGACCCAGATTACGGACAATGCCAGTCAAATTATAGTTTACGGGCGAAGGGTTAATAATATATGTGAAATTTTGAACTTAACAAAATTAATTTTAATTTTAAAAAATTCCTTATTTACACCAGAAAAATTGAACATAACATTCTTGCGATTACAAAAATCGATAATTTTTCTTTAAAGACTTAAAAATTAATTATTTCTGTACCTGCATAATAGCTTGTTACTTTTTGACCGATACTAGCATAATGTCTCAAGATATGACGTTCATATTCGCTATTAAAAAACTCCCAATGTTCGTTCATAAGTTGCAACAGTCGTTGAAACTGATCAATAATGCAAAAAGAAATAATAACAGTAAATATACACATTATCGATGTCCATTTGACAACTCACTTTGTCGTTATTCACAACGATATTAATTAACTTCGTGCTAGCAGCAAAAAGAGGTGTAAGAGTAATTGTGCATTCAACGACAATATCTATATCACCCCAAGTGTCGTATAATAGAAGCACCTAAAAATTAATGATTATATCGACAGTATTATATAATTAATATGATACATTACCTGAGTTACTAAAGTAGAATAGTGCACCATTGTGAAAAGACATGGTATCAATGTTTTCATTACTTTACGCTGATACGGCCAACCACCAATTCGTGACAAAAATAATTTGTTAGTGGCATAGTATTTTTCCATTTCCGGATTCATATCGTACGCAGGTTGCTGTGCAAATGCCATCGCGAGACAGCCCCCTTTGTTATACACGATATGAAGGAAAAGTGACGTGAACGAGGAGAACAATATAATTACGATAATATTAGATTGTCAGTTCGATAATTCTAGATTGTCAAACGTCGGTCATACGTCGTGGAAGACGTGTATTAAATTAATCGATATAGGACGTTGCCTCTCTCTACATTACGTACTACATAGTTTGCAACACAACTTCTGCAGTCACATCTCATACAGGAATCATATAAAAATTATATACGAACTGTTTAGAAACGTGTGTGAAAGTATCATTTTCTCAGCAGAAAGAAATAGTGGTTTCATCCTACTACGATAAATGCGAGACGATTTGTGCGGAGTTTATATATCCAAATATAAACTGTAATTAATTGGCTATCATATTTTATTAGTCGTCAACAGCGATAATTTTACAAATACAAAGCAATATCAGTGAGACAGTTTCGTGGTTTTTAATGAGGGTGTGTATTAATGTAATCTATATAAATCGACTCCAAGACTGTCGATTGAACCAATTTAGAACTTGATCCGTTCACTCGTTATTAAGATCTCAAAATCTTGGATACTCGCAACTCATCAGCTCGCGTAAAGATACACGGTCTCGCTCTGCGCATGTACTTGGCGCGAAACACTGTCGTGTCTCTTGTTTACGCCATTCCCTTCGTTCAGCAAACGAACGCTAGTGCTTTCATATAAGCACCTCTAAGGTGTATCACTATATTAGTGCGGCGGTGCCACATAATTTTTTTAAATTAACACAGAGTCTTAAACTCGTATTACACTACGAATTGGGATTGAGAATAGATTGAATTTTAATTATTGAAGAAAACCAATCTCATATTTAGTAAACTTTACTCTGTTTGGTCAAATTTCAATCCAATCTCAATTCTAACCCGTAATCTGATATAAGCTTTACAAGAACAGAAGAATAAAGGTCGATTCTCACTATCGATCAAGACACAGTTCGGTCACGGTCCAGCATGACCAGCAGTGTGAATGAACTCGAAAAAGCATTGAATTTAATATGGCAACAATTTTTTATCAAATCGTGATCGGATCGTGACCGGACCATGACTTGACCGAGAATCGACCTAAAGACATTGACTAATTCATCGATCGGCTACAGTAAAGCTAATTGTAAGATTTGGCAACAGTGCGAATCGACTGTATTGCTCTCGCCATGAGCGGCGCGCTCAGATATAGGGTAGACCGGGGACAAAAGTAACATTTTGAGTTTAAGATTTTATAACAGTTAAAATATAATATCTACGTAAAAAAGACCTGTACCTTTTTAGATGTAGAATTTATTTGACTACAAAATTTTCTTGTGATGAATTCAGTAATGTAACTAAGAAAAAAGTTATTATTGTTTTTAAAGAATATGAGGAATACTGTTACAACCGTCCCAACCCCCGGGACAATTGTAACAGCAGAGGGGAACGATTGTACCACATCATCTATAAACAAAATAATGGTTATTTAGTAGGTTTATGTAATCAATCTTACGAATTTTCTATAAAAAATGCAACTTTAATGATAAAATAATTTGTTACATGACAATATCAGTATTTTTACATTATAGCAAACAAAAACAAATAATACTGTTTTCTCAACTGAAAGATTATTTATAATCATATATATTTAAAGGGTTAGGTTAAGTTGAAGTTGTCCCCGAGCAACGGAGACAATTGTAACGCTACAACTGTTCCCAGGCATTGATGTTACAATTGTCCCCTAATGATATTTTATGATTCGAAGTAAATTTTTTACATAAATATCTGGATGAAAGTCAATCGTATTATGCAAATTATCAACATAAATAATCACTAAAACATATAAAAATAAAACCTTATACTTTCGGCATAAAGAAAGAAAAATATTTCAAATTTTATGCACGTAAGAAAACTTACTTCAGGAAGGAAAAAAGTAACTTCTTCTCCTGCACACGTGCACGTTCCGCGAAGGGCGGCAATGAACTAAGGAACAAATGCCGCTCTATCTAGCGGATCTCGCCTCGCGGTCATACACACGTACCTTTTATAGTTTAAGAAATATTCACGATGTTACAACTGTACCTTGTTACTTTTGTCCCCGGTCTACCGCGCGTCAATACTTCCAAGTCTAATACAAAAATTGTACTAACGAAATTTTGGAGAACAATCATGCAAATATAATCTATGAATTGAAAATAAAAAGTCAAAAAGTTTCAATTAATTTTTATGCCACATCCATGCAATTAAGAAAATAAAATGCAAACTGAGCGTTCGTCTCATACGAGGACAATGAAGGGTTAATAAATTCTATACGAACGGTAGATTGCAAATTATAATTTGAGCGTGCGGATCGAGATTGGCGTTTTTAGTAAGAATCGCATAATAAGTTATGCGATTTACAGTCGCGTGAGAAAAAATTATGTGAATCAGGTTAAAGTCATGAATCTTTTATAAGTCAAATGAAAATGGTAATATAGATATATATATTTATCCACATATGTGAATAAAGATATATCAAGGGACACGGCAGTGTCTTCCGTCAAGTACACACGCCCACGACACGAGCAGCGAGACAAAAAGTACCTATATTTGCATCGAATTGAGTGAAGGCATAATGGTCATATCTAAAAATCGGCTAAACAGATGAAATTTTTAATAGGCTCAATCGACTGCTTAGGCTCATATCATATAATAAAAGTGTTTTTATTTTTTCTACATTAAATGTTAAAAGAGATTTTTTTTAACTGTACGTTAAAATCAGCTAATTTGGATTTAAGAAACGCCATCATCATCATCAATGTCGTCGTCTCGATGTCCGGATGTAAATCAATATTTCAATATTCGCCTATATTCACACACACTTTCAAACACCCTTTACATCCTTACTTATCTTCACGTCATTCACCTGACCCCCACCCACTCCAAAGACCACAATACACCCCCACATGTCCCCAACTAGTGTTTCCACTTTAAGGGAAAATTTCTCTTTTCGGGGAATTTTCGAACCTCTAAGGAAAAAAAGGAAAAAAACGGGAAAATTTTTTTTATTAAAAAACTCAGTTTTTTTAATCGATTAATTTAAGGGGATCCTTATAAAGTAGTCTGTAATACCGACATTTGTTTCGGCGTCAACTTACCAAAACATTCGCTTTATATAAAAATTCTACAATGTATTGTTACAAAAAGACTGTCGCGTGGACAGCGCATTACATCTAAAAATACCATACCGTTGTCAGAAATTAGGTTTAGACTCCAAACAAAAAAGTTATCTGTGAAAAAGCATTATTACAAATTAGTTCTCGCATATCATGCGGCGTTAGTGCTAGTGCACGTTTGCAATAATCCTTTTTCACAGATAACTTTTTTATTTAGAGTCTAAACCTAATTCTGACAATGGTATCGTATTTTTGGATGTAATCCGCTGTCCACGCCACAGTTTTTTTGTAACAATATATTGTAGAATTTTTATATAAAGCAAATGTTTTGGCAAGTTGACGCCAAAACAAATGTCGGTATTACAGACGACTTTAGGATCCCCTTAACAATCTTGTACTATCAATATCGACAGCTTTCGATGTAGAGATAACAATACAGACATCTATAGCCGTGTGTTCCGATATATCAATACTGAAAATCTGTAGTTCACATTATGTAGTTCAAATTTTCAGTAGTGGCAGTATATATCGGTACACGGTTTATGTAATACTAGACTGCCAACACCTTATATAAGGCGTCTTTATTCTTATGTTAAACTGTACGAAACAAATATATAAAAATGAAGATGTTTTATACATAAGAAGAGTTAGCTGTCTAGTATAATATAATTATACTAGACTGCTATTTAGCACTATATAAAAGGCCTGTTACTTGTTTTCGAAGAACTTCCTGAACTGGTGTACATTGGTGCATCAAGTAAGAGTGAAACCAACTATATTTGTTTCCATCTAACTTATTGCACCAGTGTACCTTGAGAATGATGACATTAAAACTAATTATAAAAAGTAAAAAATAAATGCTTTGAGTATAAAATTTCCAAACTTCCTTATCAAAACAAAGAATTTACATTGTGAGCTACTCTTGAAATAATCCCATACAGCACACTTGTCCAAAAGCGGTACATAAGACGTCTAAAAGACGTCGAAAAGACGTCTTATGTCCCGATTTTGGACATGGTGCTGTCAGGGAATAAAATCTGGGATAATGAAATTTTTTTATGGGAAGGAAAATACGGGAAAATTCAAGGTAGAGTGGGGAAAAAAGGGAAATTTTGGAAAAGGAAAAGGGAAATATCAGACCACTCTGGTGGAAACACTGGTCCCAACATAGCTCAACACACTCTTATCCACCCAACACATTACTACTCACTCCCATTGTTCACACCCACACCACACTCTCCAAATACCTTGATACACTCCGACACGTCTAAACATAGCCCAACACTCTTACTCATCCAAACACAATATCACTCATCTCCACTCCTTCAACTTACACCACTCACTGCAAACATCAATACATCCTGACACGTCCTAACGTAGCTCAATCTTATCAATTCAACTATGTATATATGTATACGTCATATATTAAATAACTTATAAATATGTATATTATTAGTTATTTATATATAGTTATATGTCTTAATTATAGTATATCACATAACATCAACACATTGCTTATAAGACGCTAGATACTATAAAATGCGTGATATACCATAAAAAATATTTAAAAAAAATGTAAAAAAGAGCGTCAAATATCTGCGCCCTTCAAAACAGCTTTTGTGCAAAACAATGTTATTGCAATCTATTTTTGCTGTTAAAATAGTGATGTCATATGTCGCGCCAACCGAGCATGAGTGTATATACATTATAAAATTTAATTCTTTTATCATACTTAATAGAATAATAAAATATTTAATGTAAAAAAACTGTATATTATACATGAAAAATTGTGTTTATTATGGCATTTAATTATTTTATTTTATTATACTTATTAAAATAACAGAATATTCCATCCAAAAGAACTTGGCGTTGCTAAACAAATATTCATGTTTTATGTGCATGTGTGAAGTTTGTGGGAATGAAGAACAAATTTGATTTAAAATGTGAATAGATATAGGGAAGACCGGGGCTATCTGTCTACGGGGGCTATGTGTCCACAGTACTGCTATCTCAAGTTTTAAGAGACAGATGTCTCTACCATTGTAACAGTAGTTGAAAAATGCTCTACGTAAAATATTTAAATGTTGTTTGTTTTCTTGCGATGCCTCTCGCAGACGCTATATACGTTAAAAGAAAAGCGAAAACAATTATTCACATTTTTCGACGGTCGAAAAATTTGCTGTGTGACGGTAGTTTAACTCAAATTAAAGTAAGCAATTCATAATATTATTAATTAATATATAGTTATCAGGTGTGAGAAGCGTCAAATCTTAATTCCGCATTATCTAAAATTGGCAACATGTTAAAGACTGAAAAACGTGGTCGGGGCTATCGATCTGTCCTATTTTTGATGGGGCAATGTGTCCACATTTCATTGGCGAATTGTTTTTTTATAAATAGATAATGGTGCGTAACTACAAAAGAAAGACTTTTCTTAAAACGGATAAAATAGACTAATAAAATTATATTTAGAGCGATTAAAAGAATAAAAATTAAGCGAGAATCTTTTCGTAAAAACAGCGTTAGACTTTGGAATAAATGTTCGGGCTTTCACTCGCTACTGTAAAAAAGTAACCTACGAGCAACTACTTGATCCTGCGATTCAAGAATCGTCATCAAATTTTTATTTTAAAAATACACGTCAAGTTAAATATATGAGTTTGTCTTAAATTATTGAGTATTTTCTATTTCAAACGCTGCCGAGGATACAGTAAAGGCCCCAAATAAAAAAAAAAGATTAAAGAATTGAGGGGATAAAAGAAACTCATCACATTGATTTTGCAACAGACTCAAAATCAGTTTGATGCCACCGTATATAAAGAAAAGTCAGCTCTACGCAGGAAACTTGTCAAAAAATCTACACAAAGTGCCTACTACTTCTTTGACTCCAACGACTAGGCAGTTTTTTCAATATTATATATTAATAATTAATAAAATTATAAATAAGTATAAACATTAATATAAATAATGTGTTTTTTATTATGTGGACAGATAGCCCCTCGCATGTGAACAGATAGCCCCGCATATGGGGCTATCTGTCTATGCTTGACTTGTCCACTTAAAAAATTCGCCTCTTTAAAATGTTAAAAGATCAACGATTCTAATTATGTTTTTTTTAAATAACAAGGTTGAAAGGTTATACCATTAAAATTTTAGCCAAATATTAATAGCTTTTTAATAAACTTGAAAAAAGCGTAAAGTGTGGACACATGGTCCCGATCTCCCTTATGTGTGAGTTAGCTTATGGATTTAAAAGACCTTATCTGTACATATATAGAGAGAAACGGCTTCTCATTTGAAACATATGCGTGCATGTTTATTTAGCAACGCCAAGTTTCTTTGGACAAAATATTATTTTAATAAGCATAATAATAGGACAATTACATGTCATAATAAACACAATTTTTTCATGCTTAATAACAAGTTCTTTTGCATTAAATATTTTACTATTCTATTAAGTATGCTAAAAGAATTAAATTTATAATAAGTACAAACCCATGCTCAATTGGCGCAATGTTTGATAGCACCATTATATTAAAAATAGATTAAAACAATATATTGTTTCGTACAATAGCTATTTTGACGAATGCGGATATTTTTTTATTTTTTAAAAGTATTTTTTTATGAAATCTGTATTACCTACAATTTTTTTATAATTTTTATGTTAGCACAAAACTGTCTTCATTTTCTTTTTTTGCTTCTTTGCTAATGACTTTCCTAGATAATATAATTGTGCGAAGATATACATAATATATTTGCAGTCGCATATCCTTATCTTATGGATAAAAAAGCCGTGAAATATGACATGGCAGTTCGCATCACCTTAAAATTGAATGTCAATCTCTTACACCGTTATGTAAAACTGTAAAAAACGTTATTTCTAGGTATGTAAATCAAACATACCGAACTGCACGTAGTCATGGACATAACGAACATCTTTCCAGCTGTGAGTGTACACGGAGCGAGACTTCTGTAAAGAAGTACTCTTAATAATTTTCTACTTTTTATGGAAAATGTATACCATGCTGAACTGTACCTAACAGAAAAGGTGCGTCTTACAATTGATTTATTATCAATAATATAAATCATTCGTAATTATATGCAATTTTACGTATAAACGTTATAGAAAGAAAGCCGTTTAGAGATTTGCCGTTACTAAAAAACTATTTTGCACATTAATTCTTGAATTTTAACATAAATTAATCTGCACTAATTAGCATTAATTGACACTATGTTTTAAATTTAACTTTCAAATTAACAGAAAAATTATTTTATTTTTTAATTATTTCAATCATATAACATTTAGTAGGGAAGACTGGGGCTGGTTGTTACACGGGTAGGTTGTTACAGTGCCAATGGTAGCTAAACCGAAAACGCTATAGTAACGTTAGAAAGAGATAAATGATCACGCCAGTGTCGGAAGACATACCGCGCGAGCTAGTGGCGCTGGCGTTCTTGTGAAAGGAGCCCGAACAAGCAGCCGTCAAAAACGCAGGTTTGTCTATTGGTCTAGCACTTGTTATCTAAATAAGCAGAAATGTGTATGTTGTGGTATATACTCTCTAATTTCTTCTGTTTACAATAAACCTTACTTTTATAAACTTTACAAATATTTGTGTTTTAATATTTAATCTTAAAATTAAAACAATTTACCCCGTGTGGTGTAACAACCAGCCCCTGGTGTGGGATAAAAAGTTACATGTCTCTTTTTTCAAAATTTTTTAATTTATATAATTTCTAATGAGCGGTTAGATAAAATTATTATTAAATTTAAATCTCGATTAGTTACTGAATCTAGCAAGCCTAGATTCATTTATAAGAACAACATAATCAAAGAGTTGAGACACTTTATAGAAAAAATGTCACAACCAGTCCCGGTCTCCCCTACTCGATAGATAGACTTAAGAATTTTTTTGAAAAAGTTGAAAAACAATTCAAAAAATTGTGATCGAAGATATTGAAAGATTATCATAAAAATTAAATTTTATAAGATCTTAAAAATTTCTCTTATTTGCATCTAATACTTAAAGAGTTATACAAAACACGAATTCTTACGCTTTGTCGAAAACTTCTCTGCTCCGGTCTATCAGCAATTGTCCGGGAATACACATGTATATAAGATGAATAAATACACCGTAAGTTACAAAAACGTATTTTATTATTTCTCCCTGCGTCAGGTTATTGACAAACTGTAAAATTGAAGTATTGCGTTATAAATTATTCTCAGTATTCATAGTGGGAAGACATGTACTTTTTAAATGCTCACCTGTATTCCGATCACACTCAATACCACCATATTCAGAGATAGAAGAATTAATGTCGCTTGAGTGAACATGGAATCCAACGTTTGAGCGTGTCTAGAAAGGAGATCGGATAGAGTGATTTAATAAAAATGGTTAGTTTGGACGGTTAAATCTGCACTTTATTAAAATTGTTAAAGCCGCTGTTATATACTATGAACGACAAAATTTCATGTAGTACAGACTCTAATGCAAGTTGATGTTTTTTTAAGCACGTCATCAATTCACTATAATCATTTCCGGCAGAACTGTTTTTCTCCATGAACATTTCTAAATGATAATGCATCCCTGAATGTATTTTTTCGTAATCATCTAATATAGTGTCTGCCTCGCCAGTAATATTTTCAAGACGTTGGCTTTGAAATAAAACGTTGTAAATTAGCGTGCAATTTTTGTACTGATGTAGTCTCTAAGTTTATTCGTTCAACAATAAGTAAATTCTGTCTTAGAAATACATTTATAAAAAGATACTGGAAAAATATAATTTTGTTTTTTATTTTACTCACCTGATAGCTGTAAATAGACTGCAAGCATGCAATACACACTTTAGATATGTAGTATCAACGGTAAATATAATTACTACTACAATGATACACGTCATATAAGAATGGAATACGATTGGATAGTAATATTTCTCTTTATCCACTCTATGTTCAGCCCGATATACATATGCCAATGGCCGTGACTCATTCAGCGGAATTACAATATCCAATATTTTTGGCATGAATGGAGTTAGTAAATGAAATATCAAGGTTGCGTTAAGGTATACTGGAAAAAAGAACATACATGTCTTTATCTATTACTCACAAAAGACATAAAAAAACATCCTTTTTCGGCATGGGTATTTTATAATTCTATATAAATTATGTAAAAATATGATAATATACGTCAAACTGAATGAATTAACTCTAATTGGAAAATAGTTTCCCTTATTTACACCAGAAAAATTAAACATAACATTCTTGCGATTACAATAGTCGATAAACAATTTCTTTTTCGAAAGTTGAAAATTAAATTATTTCTGTACCTGCAAAATAGTTAGCTACTTTTTGGCCGATACCAGCATTATATCTCAAGATATGACGTTCGAATTCGCTATTAAAAAGCTCCCAATGTTTATTCATAAGTTGCAATAGTCGTCGAAACTGATTAACAATGCAAAGAAAGTATTAATAATACGCATTCCCGATATTGATTGATGATAACTTACTTTGTCATTGTTTATAACAATATTAATTAACTTTATGTTAGAAACCAAAACAACAATAATGGTAATTGTACATTCAACGGCAATATCTAGATCACCCCAAGTGTCGTATATTAAAAGTACCTGTAAAAAATAATAATTATATTACCACCATTAAAGTATAAGTATGTCACAAACCTATTTTTTATTATAAAAAAATTAAATTCTATTTATTTTTAATAAAATTCTGTTTCGCAACATTTCTCAATCGATCACTAGTATCTGCATTACTATCTACGTAATTAATATGATGCATTACCTGAGTTACAATGGCAGAATAAAGCACTATTGTCATAAGACAGGGTATCAATATTTTCATTATTTTACGCTGATACGGCCAACCACCGATTTGCAACAAAAATAATTTGTTAACGGCATAATATCTTTCTACGTTCAGATTCATATCGTACGCAGGTTACTGCGCAAATGTATCATCGCGAGACAGCCCCCTTTGTTATACACGGTATGAAGGAAAAGTGACGTGAACGAGGAGAACAATATAATTACGATAATATCAGATTGTCAGTTCGATAATTCTGGATTGTCAAACGTCGGTCATACGTCGTGGAAGATGTGTATTAAATTAATCGATATAGGACGTTGCCTCTCTCTCTCTCTCTCTCTCTGTCTCTCTCTACATTACGTACTACATAGTTTGCAACACAACTTCTGCAGTCACATCTCATACAGGAATCATATAAAAATTACGAACTGTTTAGAAACGTGTGTGAAAGTATCATTTTCTCAGCAGAAAAAACTAGTGGTTTCATCCTGTTACGATAAATGCGAGACGATTTGTGCGGAATATATCCAAATATAAACTGTAATTAATTGGCTATTATATTTTATTAGTCGTCAACAGCGATAATTTTACAAAGCAATATCAGTGAGACAGTTTCGTGGTTTTTAATGAGGGTGTGTATTAATTTAATCTATATAAATCGACTCCAAGACTGTCGATTGAACCAATTTAGAACTTGATCCGTTTACTCATTATTAAGATCTCAAAATCTCGGATACTCGCAACTTGTCGGGTCGCGTAAAGATACACGGGGCGGTCTCGCTCTGCGCATGTACTTGACGCGAGACACTGTCGTGTTTCTTGTTTACGCCATTCCCTTCGTTCAGCAAACGAACGCTAGTGCTTTCGTATAAGCACCTGTAAGTATCGCTATATTAGTGCGGCGGTGCCACATCATTTTTTTAAATTAACACAGTCTTAAACTCGTATTACATTACGAATTGGGATTGAGAATGGATTGAATTTTAATTAATGAAGAAAACTAATCTCATATTTAGTGAACTTTACTTTGTTTGGTCAAATTTCAATCCAATCTCACCCGTAATTTGATATGGGCTTTACAAGAACAGAAGAATAAAGGTCGATTCTCACTATCGGTCAAGACACAGTTCGGTCACGGTCCAGCATGACCAGCAAGTGTGAATAAACTCGAAAAAGCATTGAATTTAATGTGGCAACAATTTTTGATCGGATCGAGACCGGACCGTGACTTAACCGAGAATCGACCTAAAGACAATTGACTAATTCATCGATCGGCCACAGTAAAGCTAATTGTAAGATTTGGCAACAGTGCGAATCGACTGTATTGCTCTCACCATGAGCGGCGCGCTCAGATATATCGCGCGTCAATACTTCCAAGTCTAATACAAAAATTGTACTAACGAAATTTTGGAAATTGTTATAAATTTATCTAATGCAAAACATGTGTTGTTAATAATAAATATTTAATATTATAATATTAATATTTTTGTATATATTTATTGTATTTTAATGTAGGGGAAACCGGGGCGGAGTCGTCACTATAATTATCTCGAAATCTGTATGTTATGTGAACTCGCCATTAATATTGTAAATACTACTTATGATGCCCATGTAACCAACGGAGTTTAGTGAGATTATATGCTATGTTGTGATTTTCATTAAGGCAAACGTGTTTTTGGAGATCAAAAATAAAATTTTTTGCGCGTCAAAAATTTTAAATATTTTAAATATTATTTTCTCTCCGAATCTCGAGATAAGTGATTCTGAAGCGTAATGTATGCTGAACACGAATCCAGTGAAAATTTTTTTATTTTCGTTGACTTCTAATATTTCATGAGCGATCAAACTTAAAATCGGTGTCCGGGACGAAGTCATCACCAAAGCCATACCTATCATGGAGGCTTCGGGCGAAAATCAAAGTCAAAGAAGCAGCAGTGGTCGGTTTCCGCTGAGGACTTGGATAATATGTGCTGCGTGTGCTCAAAAATGACAAAATAGAGCTGATGAGAAACAGTGCATTTCGTGCGAGCATAGGGCACATAAATGTGTGTGCTTTTCTTGTAATTATTTTCCGCCATTATGTTTTTAATTAATGTTTCCATTTTTTTTATTAAAAAATAATTAATAAAATGTATCCTATCATTTTTCATAATCGGAATTATGAATTTTCGTTTAAAATTCATTCCGAGAATGGAGTGACAACTCCGCCTCGGCAATTTTGACATTTCAATTTTTGCACCTTAATGTCGTTTTTACTCTATATACCAGTTGAACAAAGCGACGTAGACCAAAAATGTCCTTATAAATTTTGTAACCAAAGGTTTATTCTTTAAAACGGTATACCACATTTTACTGAAATTATTTGTTTTGTTGTTAAAGATCGACATTGAAAAAATAGTGACGACTTCGGCCCGGTCTTCCCTATATATATGTTAGTTTGATTAATATATAAAAAAATTTTAGGAAAACTCAACATATGCCACCTAAAGAATAAGAAATGTTTTAGAATAACGTTTCGAAAACGAAGTCTTGGTGTTTTCTGTATGATGGTGCTACAGAAAAAGAAAACCAGATAACATAGATGAATTTGAAACATCGAATTATGATACTTGCTAAAATTAGAAATTGAAGAAACTGTTGAAGAAGAGAAAAACCGTTTAACAAAATATTTTTGGAGAAAAGATGGCACAAAATCGAAAGAAGAGATTTCTTCTTGAAATGTCCGTACTAGATCAATAAATATAATACCTTAGTTATCTGTTGTTAAAAAAATATAAAAATGCTAAATCCATTAGATTGTTTTTTTTTTATTTATGACAAGTACTATTTTAAATGTCGTTTATTGTACGAATATTTATATAAGATCTATACAAAAAAATTTTACCAGACAAAAAAATGCTAAAGAAATTAGAAGAAATTAAAGATCTATTAAGTTTATTGTTGCTAGCTGAAGTTACTAAATCTCGAAATTTTGAATTAAAAAATTCTTGGGATTGAAATAAATTAGGCATACCTAATATATTCAGTGTTACCATGTCAGTAAAGCGGTTTCGATTTCTCCTTTGTTGTATTCGATAATATTAAAAGCAGAACGGCGTATAATAGATAAGTGCTATACGAATAGTAGATCGCAGTATGTTATTGATTTCAACGTGCGGATCAATTAATGCCTTTTAATAAGACAATTTAATTAAAAATTCTGATGAGAGAGAAAAGTAATCCCATATTATCGAATTCTTTTTTGGAACAACGTAGTTTAAACGAATACTCGAAAGACATAAAAAATAAACTGCCCATACAATTCATGCATAGATTGCGTAATTTTAGAATAATTGATAGAAGATAATCCAATCATTTCAATACAGAATTACTTTCCTCTCTCATCATAATTTTTAATTAAATTGTCTTACTAAAAGGTATTAATCCATACGTTAAAATCGATAACGCACTGCAGATTTATTTTTGTATATTTAATTAAAATTTTTAAATGACAATTATCTCTATTTTACAATACTATTTTCAATTCTGGGTTTTCTTAATTATTATTTATTTACTCAACATTTATGTAAGAATTATGAAGAAAATTGCGGTAATAAAGGTAATTATATTTAACAAATATATTAAGTATCAGTATATTTGCATAAATTCATTAATATAGGCATCAAATAAGTATTTGATTAACGAATCACAGTTTTATTTATTAATTTTATAAAGGTGCATAAGACGGTTATTTTAATGCAAAGAAGATGCAAATACTTATCGAATAGATGCCAACACTGCGAAATAGGACATTAACGTTTTTTTTTATCGCAGGAGAAATCTTCAACTACTGTGATCCCGGTTGCCCGGTTTACTCAGTAGCCCCCGAGGGGAAAAACCCCCCTCCGGGGAGAGGCGGAGGGAGTGCCGGATTCCATGCATGCCCACGATACTGCATGCATGGCCTACCGGCTAAAACTCCTGCAGATGTTCCTCTCAGCGCTTGCAAGAGGGGGACCCCGGGAAACGCGCTGATTCTTCCGGGGCCCCCCAGCGCTTAGTCCGATCTGGGCACCAGCCCGCGAAACGCCAAGGCGTTTCCCTCGTTCGGATCGAGCTGCTTCCTAGGTGTTGCGGCGGGATGGGGGGACATCCGCCCAGACTCGCCGCCCTTCTAGCAGGGGTGGTTTGTGCTGCGGACGCGCGGTAACCCCGTCCGCATGCCCGCACTACCCCCGCAGTCCTCCCTTTGAAGTTCTTAGGGGGAGGACCAATATCATAGGTGACCGTCGAACGCTGATGCTGGCGGTGGCGACCTCCTTCCCGTTCCGAAGGGGGGGGGGAAGGTACCTCCTGCGCGCGCCACTATCAGCCGCGTCCTCCCCCCCCGGGGCTGTCGTGCGCCGTTTGCCCTCGCGGTCGGAGCAGCGACGGGGTGGGCCGTTTCCAGGCTCGCGACGCCGCCGCCGTGGTGGTGGCGGCGGCCCGCGGCGCGGCCCAACTCCGTCGCTACCCTCGCTGTCGCTAGGAGGGGGAGCTACCCTCCTCCTAATGCGTTCGGCTGCCTCCTTCTGCGCCATAACTTCTTTCTGCGAACGCTCTCCACTTAATCTGACCTGCTACCCCCTCGGTCACCGCAGCCACGATGGCCGAGAGGGAGAGTCCTCTCCTATGCTCGCCCGGAGAACACGGCGCCGTTCCTCCCACGCTGAGCAATGCTCCAGCGTGTGCTGCGCCGTGTCTGCCTCCTCCGGGCAGTGATGGCAGCGCGTGGTGCGCTCTTTCCCGATCCGGCACAAGGAGTCACCAAAGCGCCCATGCCGGGTGATCACCTGTGCCGTGTGGAACGTAAGGCCTCTTCCCTTACGTTCCACTCACTCCCCAAGGACTGGCCGGATGGCCTCCCTGACCCTCCTGCCCCCTAACCGGGGATTTGCGAAGAAATCCTCCCACTCGCGTTGGAGGGTCGCTTTGGACTGGAGCCTCAGCGCCCTCTTGGCCCTCGCCGTTATGATGCCCCCCTTGTCCCTGATCGCCTTGGTCCGTGTATATACACGGGCGTGTGACTTGGCGATCAGGTGAATCGGGGGGATCCCGGCGAGGGTGGTCGCCCCCACGTGGGAAACGGTC